GGGGTGGGGGGGAGCCGGAGGCAGCCCGATGCCCTGGGCTTGAGGGGTGAGGATTAAAGTGCTAGCAAAAAAACGCTGAGCGCATCTGCCCAGGGCGTGCGGGAGTTGGCACATCCCAGGCACTCCCAGTTTTCTACTAGGAACAAGTGTTTCTCTAACCGGTGAGCGCAGATCATCTGTGCCCAAAAACCAGCGGAGAAAAGCTGTCGTGCCCAGAAGGAGCAGAGGGAAGGGGCTCACAAGGAGGGCGGCCGAACCCAGCTCTCATACTGGCCTGACTCTGAGCTGGGGTTTGCAGCCAGCTGCTGTGAGGCCAGCTGCAGAGAGCTGGGATAGAGGCAACAAATGCAAATATGAGGAAGCGGGAATTGCTCTGTCTACCCCTCCCCTGAGTGAGTGGATCAATTTCCTTTATTTTTGCAGAGAAATAGCCCAGTTCTCCAAAACAACAAGTATCTCCAACCACAGCTTCCCTTCTGAGCTAAATAATCAGAGAAGTAGAAAGCAGTGAAGAACCCCAGCCCTTACTGGAACCCGCTTTCAGGTGGGGGCAAAGCTGCAGCCCCTGCACCATGGCAGGGGTGGCCACCTCTGCCCCAGGGGAATGCTCTTGGCCCTGAAGGTGAAGTCCAGAGGGAACCAGCTTGGGGCTTGGTGCGTTTGGGAAGTCCCGTCGCAGACTCAGCTCCCTGCCACAAGACACGGCTCATGTGGGCTGCAGGTGATCAGCAACACTAAGCTGGAGTGCAGCCCTCTGCCCCAAGGCGGTGCCCCCACCGCTCCCCTGGCCACTCCGGCCTGGCTGTTTGCTCAAAGTATGGCGTGGGGTGATTGTGAGAGTTTATCTTCTCACTTACTCACCTCACCAAACCCTGTGTTGCTGCTTGTCTGCTGCTCAGCATTTTCTTACCTGTGCCCCACAAAGAAAAGAGCAGCAGTCATCTCTGGTGTAATCAGTGTTCTGCTTCTTCAAGGCATCTGAGCCTGCCTTCTCTGTCCAGGTTACAGCAACTCATCCCTCGTCCTCACTTGCTCTTCACTAACGGTTCTTACAACTTTCTCTAAGAATTACATCCTCCTGTTCCCCAAATCAACCATAATCCCCCCTCTTTCCTGTCCACTTATAAGAACAAGAATCCTTTGTGGTCCCTCATCTTCTTTCCTGCATGGAGCAAGGAGCCAGGCCCCAAACTGTACATGCAAGCACCCAGAGTCTTTGCACATGATGATGTTACAGCCCCACGTCACACCACAGGGCCCCAGGTCCACTGAGACTCCCATGATTTCTTGCAAGCAGCCGGTAACCCATTGCAGCCAGCCCTGCCACCCAGGAGAGCCCCGCTGCCGCCGCCGCTCACCACCAACTGCCTCTGAGGCGTTAGGAGAGCTCCGGGTGCTATTTTGGCTGAGGGAGGAAGTGTGCTTGGGCCTTGCACATAGGAAAATGCAGATATACAGGAACACTGAAAGGAAAATAACCCTCTGACAAATAGGGGGGGGTGGGAATCACAAGTCATCAAGAACCAAGGTGGTTTTTCACACTGGATTTGGCCCTGTAAGGCACATTATCTGCTAAGGCTACAGCAGCAAAAATATCTGGCAACAAAGAGTTTACCGATTCCCTAATTACAGATAGCAGGGGCTGAGCTGCAGCAGGAAGCAGAGATCAGACATTACAGCAGGCGTTACAGGAATAGCCCATCTGAAGAGCACTACATCCCCTTCAAGAGATCCAGTTTTATAGCAATTCATTGAAAATAAATTACATTCCCAGCAAACACGTGAAGGCTCTTCAGTCTGGCAGAATCAAGACTCTGATTTTAGTAGGGCTGTTTAGGTTAATTCACTTGAGGGCGAACACAAAACCAACACCATCCCACAGGATATTTAATGCCATCTGCTTTTAAGCATGAATTGCACAACGTGGAACTAATCATTCTCAGATATCATATTGCCCTCTCTGTTATTCCAGCTACATCTTGGTATGAGCATGACCAGTTTGAAATGCTGCAGAAGACACATGCCCCATCCCGCTCCTGACCCATGTGTACACCCCATCCATGGTCCCTCGAACACTGCCCAGCCTTTACGTGCATCCCACGCCCAGAAGAGAGAGCTCCCACACCCAGCAAATGGGTAGGAATCATCTAACAAGATGGAGGAGATCAGGCACCGGGCTCGAGATACGCACGCTGATCACAGCCTGCTTCCGCACATCCAGCCCATATCCCAACTTCTCTGTGTTCCCATGCTTGTTCTTCTCTAATACCTCTCTTTCTCTAACCCTCATCTCCTCCCAAAAACCAAAATAAGGAGAGGATACTTTTTTCCTGTTGGGCCCAGTCTTGCTACATCTGTAGCCAAATTTGGTGCTTCTGATACCTCTCAGTGGGTCACCTCCACCTCGCCAGGTTCCACTCCCAAGGTGGTCCCCGTGCTCCTCCTCAATCCTCTGTGAAGCTCAGCCATTTCCCCAGGTGCTCTCTGTAGCGGTCCAGCAGCTACCTGTTACCTGCTGCATCTGGCCATCTCTGATGTCACATCTACTCCTTTCTCCTGGTCTGTTCAGTGACCCAAACTGCAGGCCAGGGCCCGACCACCTCCCTGTGTACCCTAACAGAGAGGTCCTGCATTTCATGGATATAAGCAGATCATGTGATCATTATGAAATAATTAGGTTTTTAAATTACCTGAGAACTTCATTGTTATTTAGCCAGTTCAGTCTCTAAAGAACATCTCTGAAAGCACAGAAACATTAGTAAATGGATCCCCTTTACATTCATTCATGAGTACCTGAGAATAATTTTTTTGCGTCAAGAAAAAAACTTAGCCTTCAATTATTTCTGAACTAAAAAAAAAGCAAAAATTACTAATTTCTTGCAGTCGCGATTCCTACCAATGCCATGTTGATCAATTGATTTTTACAAGGTGCACTATAAAAATCAAGTCCCTTGGAAGGGTTTTTCAGTCAGGGACATGAGTTTCGGAAATGGCAGTGGAAACGGTGGAGAGCTGCTTCTTGCACAAAGGCAAACACAGCATCAAACACCCCAGACCTTACAGAAGGCTGCAGGCACTGCTCAAGGAGCTGCATAAGATTTTCCATGGATTTTCCCTCGGTAAAACATCACCTGATTATAGCAAATGTCAAGACTGCCAAGTCTTACACAGGCTGTCTTGTACTCAGGTGTGGTGCAAGAAGAGTACACATCTGGCTACGCCTGCTTCCCACTAAAAGGTGCTCGGTGCTTCTCCAGGCTGGATGACACCACACAAGTGCTCATCCCACACTCAAAGGTCAGCTCATACTGGAGCAACCACAGCTCTGAGTGCAGGCTATGTATGGTTAAAACTGCTCTTCATTTTTTTGGCTAATTATAAAAATTAGCCAAAAGTTTCAAAGAATGGGAGAAAAAAACCCCAAACAAAAGCCCCAGTGTGGCTGTCAGAAGTACCACTTCTGTTCTTCAGAATGACATTGTCATCCATGCTGGTGGACAAAGCAGGATTGTCCCTAGCCCCTGTGTTGTGATCATCAACATCATCAAGTCTTTGGAGTCACACACATAGCAGCTGTAAAAACAAATTTGAAAAAGCTGAAATCAACGCTAAGCAAAAAGCCCCAGAGGCTGATTACAGTGAAGCAATCAACACACAAAACAGTAATCCTCAGAGCCCTTCTGAGGAAGGTGCTGGTGTGAAGCTTTCTCAAGAACACCAGAAGCTGGAAGTCAAAACATGACTCCCCCAGTGAGCAAGGGTTTAAGAAAAAGCCAGCTGCAAAGCCCACAAAAGCAGCCAAATCATCAGAGCTACAAAATGGAGGGGCTAGATGAACAGGGAAATGAACTTTAGAGAAGCCACCTCCTTCCCCTAGCAAGCCCATGAGGAAAAAAAAAGCAGTTCTTGAACACAGCCCTGGTGAAGACAAGAAAAGCAGCATCCCATCCCTTTTGAGGAAAGCTGGCTGACAAGGAGCAAGGCCACCATACGCTAGAAGCAAGCCCACGTGGGGCTTGAAAGATCATCCGAGACATACAAAAAGACAACAGACAAAATTTCACCGAACATGAATAAATATAAAAAGACTTAGGTACATTTTAGGAAAGAAAAACATTTAAGCTACTTCCATCCTGTTAGCTAAACTAAATATAAAGATCATTTTATGAAGAAGGTAGAGCACAACCAATGTTTCTCAGCAACTTGATGTTAAGTTTTGCCCTGGATGATGTCATCCGGTAACTTTATAAAAGGACTGAAAGGTCTTTCCAAGTGTCTTTCCAAGGTCTTTCCACCCGCATAGGGGTGGCTGCCTGTGACATCACACAGTGGCCAGCGCTGGGGTGCCCACCCGCCCGCCGCACCAGCGCCCCGGGCAGCCATCATGGTGTATGGGCATGCTACCTGCCACCACACATGATGCACACCAGCACCAACTCATCCAGCTCCCCCCAGCTGTCCCACCATGGATGATGCTGTGGTGCTTGGAAAGAAAGGCTATAGCCTGAGCAACATGCTAGGAGAAGGCTCTTACGGCAAAGTGAAATCTGCCTACTGCGACCGGCTGAAATGCAACGTGGCCGTCAAGATAATTGACAAGAGGAAAACTCCTCGGGACTTCCTGGAAAGATTTCTCCCCAGGGAAATAGAGGCTTTGCGACGTTTGCACCACCCCGCAATCATCAAAACCTATGAGATTTTTGAGACATCAGCTGGGAAAGTGTACATTGTGATGGAGCTGGGGGAAAAGGGAGACCTCCTGGACTACATCAAGATCACGGGAGCTATGAAAGAGGACATCGCTCGCATCAAATTTCAGCAGTTGGCTTCTGCCATCAAGCATTGCCATGACTTGGACTTCGCTCACAGGGACCTGAAGTGTGAGAACATCCTTCTCGATGAAGGCCTCAACATCAAGCTGTCAGACTTTGGCTTTTCCAAATCCTTGTCTCGGGATGAAAACGGAAGAACTATTCTCAGCAAAACCTTCTGCGGGTCTGCTGCGTACGCAGCCCCTGAAGTGCTACAGGGCATTCCTTGTGACCCCAGGATTTCTGACATATGGAGCCTGGGTGTTATCCTGTATACAATGGTCTACGCTTTAATGCCATTTGATGATTCCAATGTCAGGAAAATGATCTGCGTTCAGAAACAACACAGGATTCCCTTCCCCAACTCAAAATACCTGACTGTAGAGTGCAAGGACCTCATTTACCACTTGCTCCAGCCCAACGTGTCTCAGAGGTTGTGCATAGATGAAGTTTTGAAACACTCATGGTTGCAGAATCCAAAATCCACCATCCCTTCCCCTCTGCCAGCTGCAGAAGAGGGTGAGTGTTCCCAAAACGTGCGTGAAGGAAAGCCTGAGCTCAAGCAGCAAGCCAAATCCCATTCTGCAGAAAGGGAAGGAGAGAAGGAAATGGGATCCTCTTAAGGATCGCTGGTTTTAACAATATCACAAAGTTGGTCTAACTTGTGAACTGCTGGTTCTCAACTTCAGCTTCTCTGGACCCTTTCAGCAATAGTCCTCGTCTTTTGCTTTACAAAGTATAGCAACAGAAGACACAGTACATCTGCTGAAGTGAATGAACAGCTTAACACTATTATTCTCAAAAGACCTGTCTCTGATGGTTTGCGGGGGCGAGAAGTTTCTTTCAAAACACATTGGAAAGTTTCTTTCAGTGCTGCTTGCATTTCTCAAGGTCCTGACTACACCAGCTGCAGAATTCGCATGTGCATCAACCACATTTTGGATTCAGTAAGAGGGCAGGTTATTAGGAAGTGTCAACATACATCTGAAACCTTACGCATACTGTTTTCATAACGTACCAACTCTCTTGGCAGATCCACTGTATGCTCAAGAGCATCGGTTTGAACTCCACTTAAATTAAAGAGGAGCCCTGTAAAATTCTGGGTCATGTCTCTATATATACATGGTTGTATCCCCTCTTCTGCAAAGTACAAAACCAAAGAAGTTTGACAAGCTGGAAGAAAGTCCAGTTCAACCTTTTAGGAAGGCTTACCACATTTTATAAATAGGCACGTCTGTACAGAAATGTATTGAAATGCATGGCCATCTTAAAAAGAGAACTGCATCTTAAAAAAATTATCGCTGTTTTCCAAGAGTCCAGAAATATTCTCTGCCATTGCAGGAAGCATCCTTTTGCTACAGCAGCCCTGTGCATCCCACCCATGCAGTTCAAAGGGAAGTTATACCACAGCAGGAGATACTCTGCTTCCAAAAAGCACATCACAGGCTATTTTAGCTATATAGTCTAGAGTAGCGCTGGTCCCAGATCTTGTAGCCGCTGGCTCCCATTCTGGCAGCTGTGCCTAGACACCCCTTACTACCGATGGCTCACAACATCCAGTCTGCAGACAGCTGAGTACAGCCAGTTCACTATCACCTTGCTGGTGACTGGAATATTCAGAAGAAATCAGATGCCTTCCTTCTTTTAGGAAGCTGCAGTAAATTGTCTGTAATCGATGTAGTATCCTGAGACATCGGCGTCTGAGATACTGTCCTAGGTTGTGGGGTGCTTGTGGGTGTATGAGGCCCACTTGCTGGGGTCTTGTAACCAGGAGTTCCTGTGTGGGCTGGGGAAGGAGTATAGCTGGCTCGCAGGGCTTTGTCCGTATATTTACTTGCAGTCCTGTTTACTAGTCTTTGCAAAGCTGGTGACATTGCTGGGCTTAGTCCTTTTGGAGTGAGGCTAGAATAGAATAAACAGTTTTAAAAGCTTTTTACAGTAAAAACCTGTCATTTATCAGGAAAAGCATCGATGCTTCCACAGGCGAGCTCGGTGTCCACTCCCTCCACAGACCAGACCCTCTGGCTGCAGAGGTCATTCTGCCTGCAGGTAAATGCAGCCTGTCTCTCTAGAGAGACAAGTGACATAGAAACCTCCTACATCCCTCCCAAACCTGGGTGGCACTGCCTGCTTTTCCTTTGAGCCTGTTCTGTCCTTCCCGTGACCCAGTCAAGCAAGCCTTATCATGTCTCCCCTCTTTGCAATGAGGCAAGACACTGATCCAGATGCATTGCTGGGTGGCTGTAGGGCAGAACAGTAATGGTGACAAGAGGGAATATCAAGAACAGCCACCAGTCACCTTCCCTCAGGAATTAAGTTTTTTAATCTCTAAAAACTTCTAGTTTGACTGTAACTCTTCCTGCTTCCAGTACTCTTATCATTCCTCCCTTTCTACATATGTTGATTTGAGTATCATCAGAAAATACCCATCTTGAGTTCTGCTGTCAGAACAGAAGTCTCACCTGGCCAAGTTTTCTGTCACTTTTCGAAGTGCCTCCTGCTTCTTTGCTCGGTTTTTAGCTGCCACTTCATTGGCCATCTTGAGTCCTAACCTCTCACGGCGCCCAGGCTCCAGGATCTATAAATGCGTCAAACAGTTCACTCACCAAGGCACTCATGAGTGCTGCATAAATGAGTCAAAGCACCTTCACAGTTGGATTCCAGCCTACAGGGATCTAAACTGGGGAGAACTGGGGTCAGCCCACACCTCTCTGCTGCTATATAAAAGCCAGAAAGGACACAGAGAGACCTTCAACCTATCTTAGCAAGTAACAAAAATGGTAAAACCAGTTCAGTCAAGGAAGCAGCCATTATCTCTGGCATTTCCTCCTGCTGTCTCTCCTAGACAAACAATGTCACCTGTGTCTTGCCTAGCCTGGCCTGTAGCCAGCCAGCTAGCTTGCTCTCAGGCAAACACAGACATTGCTAAACAGCAGGAGAACCAGTCAAGGGCTTCAGCGTCTGACAAAACAGAGGCACATACAGCAAATTACACCTTTCTTGAACTAAGAGTCTCAGACAGCTCACATTCAACGACACCAGCAGGAGACAGGTGGCATGCAGGGTCAGGTGCCATTAGCAAAGCCAGAGCGCCTTTTCTACTCTCAAGTGATACACCTGCCTCAGGCTGTGACAGCCAGAAGATCAAGAAAGAGGGAAATCCTAGAATTTCTACCCATTCATACATTAAAATCAGAGAAATCAGGCATTTCTTCAGCTTGCTGTGAAAGCCCCTCTGTCTGGGCCCATCATCAAATATTGAGTCTCACACTCCTGCCAACAGCGTGTGTTCCACCTCAGGTATCTCCACCAAGTAGCTTTCATGTGGAGCCATGTTCACCTCCACCCTCCAAGCAGAACCTAGATTATTAGTCTCAAGGACTGGGAACACAGCCCAGAGATGTGTCACACTCCCACAACAATGTTAATCTATTAATTACTCACTTGCCTTTCCCTTCTTAGCCCTTCCCCCCTCAAAAGAATGACATGCTGACTCCTGACATGAAATACCTTGAAGGCTGGTCCAGGTGTTCTGTCCACGTAAGGCGTTTCTGACCCTTCTAGACGCAAAGGGGTGCTTTCGATTTCACCCCATGTCATAAAAGGAGACTCATTCACACCTAAAAGAAATTTTAGAAGTCATGCTCATGCAAGACATTTGACTATTCATTCACCACAAAAAAATGCAGAGAAACAAATTATGAAACACAGCAAATTCATCAAAACACAACGGAGCCCCTCCACTGCAGAGGCAATGACAGCCAATGTTGAATAGCAACATGTGGTTCCCATTAAAAGGGCACGACCTTAAACTCACAGGATTGCCTGTAGCTGTGTCACCCTCTAGGTTACAACACCCAAGCACTGTTCTTTCCACGTGTTTATTTTTGCATTTGGTGAGCTTTTGCTTAGTGACACTTTCACTTTTTCCTCTGCAGTACTAGTCTTCCCCTCTGCTATTGTATGAAAAATCCTTCAACACAGGGAACTATTTAAAAGCAGGGAAACGGGCAGAGGATTCAAGATACATGTAATAGCCAAACGTACCCTCAATTCATCTTGAGGCTAGCGTGTACCAAACAGCAACTGCACCTTGTCTAACAGCTAAACTGCAGAATAGATTCTAAGAGCCTGATTAAGTCACTGGCTAGAAAATCCTGCTGTCCAGGGTTTGGAAAAGGCGTTTACAATGGAGAAAGGAGGTGTGCTCCAAATGCCACCTACAGGCTTTCCAGAGGAAAAGCCTCAGTATGTTCACCTTTTAGCATAGTAAGAAAAGACAGGGAAACATAATGGCTGGTGAAGAACAGCTAAAAATTCAGATACCACATTTCAACTGGAATAAAAAATAATCAGTTTGTTCTAACTGAAAGTATCCTGCAGCTAATACACCTGAACAAAAGGAATCTATAATACACAAGTGTATTCAGACAAAGGAAGAACCTAGAAAGCGGACGACTTGGAGGAAAACGGTAGGTTAGACTGTGAAGGAAGTGAGACATGCCACATCCCTATTAGCCAGGCTGAACCATCACTCAGCAAACTACTGGACACACTGACACAAATGCTCCTCAT